TCACTGTTTTAGATCTAAATTATAAAGCTTGAGAGAAACATATTAAATGCATAAGACTTTTAAGAGTTCCATTTTATTACTTACAATTTACGTTGCATATTGTTTAGATTTGAAGAAGGAAACTGCAATGATTGCTTAAGATGAACACATAAAGAAAATAGGTATTGAAGCATAAGCATTAATGGCATGGGTAATGTCACTGAACATTCACCTTCTTCCTTCATAATGCAATACCAGTGGTCATTTACATGAATTTCCAGAGGTGTTTCACTGAGATGCACAAATGCTGCTCATCATGTTGCTGCTTTTTAATGCATAAAATAGTGGTGGGTTTAGCAAAACTCTTAATAAATGACATTATTGACTTTGAACTATGATCACTGCCTGCTTGCAATTTTTATCTATTCATAGTTTGGGAACACTGGTATTAATAAGTTTGTGTTGCATCTAGTCCTGTGCTTAGCGGAGTCTGCTGGCACCAGCAAAAGTGGAGTGTGTGTTAATTTTCTCAGGTTCCTTCTGTTCACTGCAGCCCCCACTGCTACCTCCTACACTGCTCTTGAAGGTTGGGGGATTATCTGGAGCAGCTCTTTGGGGCAGGATCACAGTGGGTGCCAGAGAGCAGGTTAAACTAAAAAATGAAGGCTGCTCTACTCACTTTCTTCAACAAGAACTCTGTGATGGATCCTTCTGTGTATGGAAAAAACACTTCTATTGCAGAGGGATAAGTCTCAGTACAACCCATTGGAGACAGTGTTGGGTTCATATTTTTGAGACTACTGTCATCCACATTTTTCATTTCAGATTCGTATATTTCAGAAAAAGGGGCTTCTGGAGGTAGTGAACAGGAATACCAGTGTGCTTTAGTATATGCTTTACTTACTTCACTAAGTAAAGTAAATGGAAACTAATGAGAATATGGTGATTGATTCATGGAGTTTTCTTGCTGGTGACATCCATTCTGAAATCTAAAATTGCCATGTTGGAAAATACTGACTTATAATAATCATTATAAATTGGTTACCTGTTTTTCTTCTCAGTTTTCAGTAAGTCATTTAATTCAGACCTGACTAGCAATTGTACTTGGAATAAGTCCTTCGGAATTCTACTTGTTTTCTTGCATTTATGTGGTAGATGTGACTGTAATTTGTCAGGTTGGAAGGTGGTGTTCCTACTGAAAACTAATGTCATCTTTGAAATCCTTTGACAAGGTCTTCTTTAGTACATAGGACACTCAACTATTTTACTTGATCCAAGTGGACTTGCATAGTCAGATGAATTGAATAATGCTGCACATCTACAAACGTCTGTTTGGCCAGTGAATACATTAGAAATGAAACTCTGGAGCACCATTGCCATTCGCTGTAGATTAGCCTTCTCCAATCTGTTACCTCCCAGATGCTTTGGGCTACAGCTTCATGAATTTTGCAGCATTGGCTATGCTAGCTGAAGCTGATGGGAATTGAATCCCAAAACATCTAAAGGGCATCAGACTGGCAAATCCGGCATAGACAATCATCTAAATACACCAATCGCCCAACTCAATGTAGGCGTTTCCACTGTTCCTTTGAGCAGAACTGAGACAGAGAATTCCTAATATTTGTGTTATCCCCCTTAATAACCATCTAGTTTTGCTTAGTATAAGGGAAACTGGCTGGATTTGAATGGTCTGACCAATAATTGTATGGTTGTGATATGCTCAGAGCCTAGGACTACACTTTGGTTTTGGCTGTTGGATCAAAACATTTGTTACTTCTTTCTTCCATTAATTCAAAGGAGTCTTCTCTGTCTAGAACTCTTGGACTTTCAGTACTAGGGAATGGGGAGAAACATACTCGTTTCCTTGCCTCATTTCTCAAAGAAGACTAGGCCCCAACATACCATTTCTTTTTTTTTTTGCTTTATGACTTTCTAAATTCAAAAGCATACCTGTGGATTTTTTTTCTTCCTGTGTTAGATGTGGCTGTGCTGCTACATTTCCCTAGCATCTTGGAAAGTTTAACATTTTAAAGTATTGGCTTGAGTTATTTTATTTAACCAGATGGGAAAAGTTGATATTCGTAATCATATTTACTGCCTGTTTGACAGGTTGACTGTCTCTGTTTTGTCTTAAGCTATCCAGTTTTCCTGCATGGTCCATGTTGCAGCAACATCTGCAAGCAGCATTGCTTTGATTGTTCACTTAGTTGATGGTCAAAATGCATTTAGTGGGCACTGAATTGTTCACCTCTTCTCCTATTTGTGTATTTCTTGCTTGTGTTGATACATACAATGAAATGATATTTCACCAAAGTATGTGTATATCAGTATACTTGTAACATATGCTTGGTTTTAACAGGATTTCACTACTCCAGGAATATTATTGTAAATAGGCTCTATCTCAATGATTTGCTTAATTTTGCATATGTAACCTGTTACATGAACTTCAGGCAATGCTGCAAACAGGCCCTTTGATTGAAAAGTTTTTTTAAGTGCAAAACTTCAGTAGGTAAACTGACATCTGTCAGAATCCTTTTGCAGCAAAATCTCCATTTTGGCAAGTGGGAGGTTTCTATAAGAAAGTGTTTACTCTTTAATTTGATGGGGAAACTAGATTATAGTAGCAGTTTACTTGGTATCTAGTTGCAAAAAGGGTCTGCAATGTGAGGGTTGTGCTGAAATTGTTCAGCTGACTGTTAATCATACTGATAACTGCAATCTTTGTCAGGAAGAGGCTACTATATTCTACACTAACAGGATGTTATTTACAGTTTTTGTTTCTATCACTATTTGCATATTGCTTTTGGTTTTCAAATACCTTGCCTTAGATTTGAAAAGTAAAAACTCATTACACAGTGAAAGATGCATGGAAGGTAACCCAGGAAAGATGACGTTGAAGTTTCACAAATTTGATGAATAGAATATACACAAGAGAAAATATCTTTTAATATAGAGCACTTGAGCAATTGATTTCATGTCTGTAGAATTAATACACTTCACAGGATTATAAACTAGTCTAGGCATAGGAAGCTTACTCAGAATGTGGTTTTCAGAATCCATAATACAGGTTATATCCTGATTATGTTTAAACACTATTTTATATCAGTTGCTGTTGCTCCTGATGCAAGGCAAATGCAATTTTAATTCTAGTAAAAATAGTGACATAAGGATTCCTGCTAATACTTCTGAATGATGTGGTCCCTATCTCCCATTTTGATGGGTAGAGTTCTTCTCTCCCACATGTATTTTCCCTAAAGTTATCTGATATAAAAAAATCACACCCTCATTATTGGTGGATTTCCCCCATTTTGATTTTAAAAGTGCATCCCTTAAAGACAGCCAACTTTTGCTAAATGAGCAAAACCACATTACAAGAAAAATCCCATTGCTATTGAGACTTTTAAGTTGAAAGTGCTTATGATTAAGGATTAAGGAAACACTGTCTGCATTTTGAGTTACAGTGCAGTCAATGTTAGCTGGGGCATACTGAGAGTCGTAGGATTTTTCTGTCTAAATATACATAGTATTGCAGGGTAACAGTACAGTCCTGTATATGTCTGCTCAGAGGTAAGCTCCATTGGGTTTAATTAGGCTTACTCTCAGGTAAGTATTTGATGGATTGCTATCTAACCATTATTAAAGTAGAGAATAAATAGAATGGCCTAAAAGCAAATTTACTCCGAGGCTAACCAAAGAATGTCACATTCTTCAGTCACATATGGTTGAGCCTGAGAGGCTTGCGGGTTACTTGTCTGTGTCATTTAGACTTGACTGTGATACCTTTTTTTTTTTTTTTTTTTTTGGAGAATTGAAGTAAAAAATACTAATAGGTCTTAAGGAGTAAAATTTATGACCCAAATGCAAGGAATAGTATGGCAACTTAACATGTGTCCAACATGGTTTTGGATGAGTTGCCCAGATAACAGTCTCCTGTCCTCCACAGTAAACCGTGCATTTAATGGAGGGAAGCTTCAAAAGGAATTTGTGAAAAGGCATGTGGTTTGCCATCTTGAGCATGGTAGGGGTAGGAAATGCCAGTTCCTTTGGCCTGTCCAAGTGCTTTAAAACTGGATGACACTTGTTTAAAAATGTTACCAGGGCCTTAACATCTTAAGATAAACACCTGACTTCTGGTTCTAGGCATAATTGTGATACTATGTGATGCTATGTATGCATTCCCAGATAGAATTGATGCAGGAGTTGGCCATCTACTTTTGGTGTTAAAACATGGTTCCTTTGATCTTAATGACTACATTGGGCCATGTTGTTTCTTTAAGGATGCATGTTGTTATGCCATAATATTGGAGAGAAGGATGGAGACCCCAGAGATATGACTGAAGGAAACTCATGTTGAGAGCTAAGTATGTAAAAATTAGCATAATTAGCAGCCTTTGGCTATTCTGAAGCTCAGCTGTGTAAAATTTCTCCAAAATGCTATTTATTTACAAAACAATTCCAAAAGGGGTGGGTCAGGACAAAGACTTGTTTGCTGTAAAGGCATGTAATACTATGTATCAATTAAGATTCACTCTGAAATTGCCTCAAAGTATTTGGATAACAGACGTTTCTTGTTATGATTTGTCCCTTTGACATTTTGACAGTCTTGCATTGACGCGATAAAAATTTTGTGCACATTTGTGTAAGGCTGGTAGGTTGTGAGATTTAATTAAAAGTTGCAATTTTGTAGTAACTGCTTCCCATTGTCACTTTGTGAACCAGATAATGCTTAACTTTAATCTGTGTTACTTGATAGACTACCCTCAGTTTAAGTACAACTTAAGATAGAAGAGGGGTGAGAGTCTTGAAAGGCATCTGAACTTCTGACAATCAACAGCTCTTGTCCCCATTTCTTATTTAAGGGCATAAATTAACAGGAGTTATTTAATTGCTCCAAATTTTCCTTGCTTTTCAGATGTAACAAATCAAATCAAACTATGCTATGATGATTTCAGTGTGCTTTAAGTGTCATTGCTTAACAAATTGTCTTTCCTTTATCTTATGTATGATGGGATCCTCGCTAGACAGAGGTAATAGATATGGGATAGTTGTATACCTGGATCCTGGTGTGCTCTTGGTGGTGTCTTTTGTTCCCTAGTACTCTTCCTAAACTTGCGCTTGCAATTTCTGTGCTTCTGTGCCTGCATGCTTCCATTCACATTAACCAAAATGCCACTTGATCCTGTAATACTTTTTCCCTGTGTGTATTGTGTGTGTGTGTGTGTGTGTGTGTGTGTAAGTGATACGTCTTTTAATTCTTCAGTAATAGTTCACCACTTTGAAAATTTAGAACCCAACCTCTAACCCACTTGAGGCATCCTTTTCAGCCTTTAAAACTTCAGCAGACAAAATTATTTAGTGTTCTTCAGTTTAACACAAATCTTGTGTCCATGGCTGGAGAAAAAGGAACAGACGTGTGCTCTGATAATCAGAAGGGTTCTGCCTGCATTGCAGTTGCTATATGCTCACTTTATTTCACTATAAACTGGTGCAGATTTTACCATGCTAATATATTAACCATGGTGTTGAGATCAGGAGCAGACCACAAGCTTACACACTGCATCCCACACCTTCTTCTCCTCGGAGAAACGTCTCCCCTTTCTTCTGTTCATGGTGCAAACAATGGTTTTGCATTATATGTGTATTGACACAAGCCATGAAACCCTACTTCAAACTATCTATGCAATATCTGGCTTGTGCGGGATGATGGTTAGCACTAGCCATGCCTTCCATCAAGGTACATATAACACTAAACTATGGTTGACACCAAACCCTGGAACCTGCTTTAAATTTCTTAACCATTTAAGAGTTGAGTGATAGTGTGTCTGCACCAGCCATGTTAGTGTAACAGTGCCAAAAAGTTAGTTTTAGTGCCAAAAGTTACTATTTAGCTTATCTATAGCAGATACATTAATCCCAAGTACTAACGCATTGCTCAAAAATTTAGATTCACTATACAAAAATGTCAGTAAATAGCTTTTGAAAATATCTTCTCATTCTTGAGATCTGACAGAACAAGAAGAAACATCTTGGGTTTACTATTTGGGATTGAAGATATTAACATACCAATCTTATGCATGTTTAGTAAGAAGTAAATCCCATCATGATGGGTGCTTCCAAGTAAGAGTGCTTAAGATTGGAGCCTCAGTTTGTTGAAAGACACAGAGACAGAGAATGTGTGGTCCTCCAGATGTTGTTGGAATGAGTCTACCAACATCTGAAAGGTCATACATTTCTCACCCTAAGGTAGAATAATGCTTGACTCTTACCTTTTAATCTTCAAAAAACATCTGACAGATTTAAAGGCTGGAAAGTTATCTAGAATAGTAACAGTAAGGATGTCTATAAGAAGATGGATGGTTAGAGGCATCAACATGTAAAGTTTAAAAATATAGTCCAATATTTTCTAAGTTTATTTTTCTTCTCTTGGAATTGTGGTACTCTTGATTTATTAAACAGAGAATCTCCCAGGAACGCGAGAAGTTTGCTGATGAAGACAGCATATTTTACGCACTTGGAGAATGTGGCTTGATCTCCTTTTCTGACTACATCTTCCTCACTACAGTCCTTTCTAGTAAGTATATATTTTTATTCCATACTCTTTTCTTGAAATAATTTGGGGTTTTTTTTTAAAGCTAGTATACAGCTGCATGATTGGTTTATTTTGTTGAAATGTGCCGAATTCTTTAAACTAGAAGTGATTTGATTTTTTTGTATTGAGTATGGTACTTAAAACTAGTTGACTGATAGGTTTTTACTTGGTGTTACAGACCAACTCCAGTATTAAGCTTTGAACATCAAATAAAATATACAAAATAATTGTATATAAATAAATCCTTAGAAAATAGCCCTGCATATGATGCTAGGTAAGATAATAGGCCTGTACAACAAAAAGTTCACAAGTAAGATACAACCTGTGAATATTTGATTAGCTGGCTTATGTAGGTCAATCAAAGTTCAGTCTTGACAACAATACATGTTCCTGAATTTAATTAAAAAAATGCATGTCTTTGAGTGTGTTCATTCTTCATTTACAGTTCTATAAGCTGTGGCTACAGAAGACGTTGTGTTAATCTATCTCTTAATTGTTTCAGTGGACATAAAAGTGTATTGGGATTGGTTCCAGAAAGGATCAAGAGCAGGGCTGTATATAGCTCCTCATGCAGTCCCTCTCTCTCACTCTCCAACTTATGGAGCTGTCTTTAGACAAAGGGGCTGCTTTCTCTGCCAGAGGAGGAGTAGGTTCCTGCCCACTTGTAGAGACGTACTCCTTCCTTTATCTAAAATGTTTGCTCCACTTCTCAACCAGAAGATCCTCAAGACTGCTTTCAATTGCACTTAAAACCAAGGTACTATAAAACAGTGCATAGCCACTAACAGCCAAAGGATGAATTAGTCTTAAATTTTTGTTATTCTTGTTGGTCTTTCAGAGGTGTGCATGTGTGCACTTATGGCTGTCCATATATATAGTTTTGTCTTGTCAATGTCCTTGTAAATCTCAGCTGCAAGTGGGAGTCCAGAATAGTTGCTGGCACAGATAGAAATTGGCAAGGAGAACTACACATAGCTGCTGAGCTCAGTTGTAAACCTGGAAAAGAGGAGGCACACCAAGAGGGCATGGAGACAAGACTTCCCCTTCGCAATGGAACCCTCTTGAATTCAAGTGTTGACAGTTCTAAGTACACATCACATTTTCTGTGCTTCCTTGGAACTCCAGCTACTCCAGAAAGATACAATATTGACACACAAACCCTTTCACAGCTCCAACCCATTCTGTTCCATCTAGGGGTGTTAACAATGTTGGGAAAATTGTGCATATTTTTACTGGGGAATATATGCAGCTTTAATATCTGGGAAACAAATGGAGGTGAAATATAGGAGATTTCAGGGCTGGTACATAAACGGAAGGAACTTTGCATTATATTTCTCCTCCATTTACTTTGCAGTAAATACACAATCTACATATTTTCACCAGTATTAAAATGCAAATTTGAGGGACAGTTTTTGAAAACCCCTTCAAAAGTGACAGAACGGAACAGGGCAAATAGGGTGCCAGCAAGAGATTTGCCTTCTTCCCCTACTGTGACCCATTCACTCTGTCCCATTCTCAGCTTTCTCGGGAAAGAGGATGTAATGAGAACTGTTTGGGAGCCATGGTAATTGTAGGAATAAGTGCTCTAAAAAGAGCCAGTGTGGTGTGGTGGTTGGAGTGTCGGGCTGTGGGATCAGCTGATCCAGGTTCTAGTCCCCATTCAGCCATGAAACACACTGGGTTACTTTAGGCCTGTGACTCACACTCTGCCCAATCTTCCTCACAGAGATTGTGAGGATAAAATTAAGCCATATGAGCCACTTTGGGTTTCTCACAAGAGGAATAAAGGCAGGATATAAATGCAGTTTAATATGATAATGATGATTATCATCATCATCATATGGTCAGGGGGGTGTTAATATCTCTCTTTTCTGAAAATGCTGGAGACATTTCTGTACATTTGTGAGCTCAATTTTTTTTAAAGAATGCAGCATTTTTGAGACTCTGGAAAAAATGGTAATGATTGGAGCAGGAAGAGAATGAAAGACTGGGATACCAGCTGGTGAACCAAGGAGGTGAACAACCCACCTTGAGCCTGATTGTCTCTTAGTTCCACTGTTGGTCATTCCATGAATCAACCTATTTTATCTTATGTGCAGTGTGACTCAGCATGTTAGATGAACCTGCCCATTGCTTCACTTGAGATTTCCCAGATGAGGTCACTTTGTCTAGGAGGGACTTTTAAGTGCCTTCCTTCTGCTCTGCTCTTGCAGTTTGTATCCAGAGTAGGCTGTTTCCTTCAGCTTTATAAGAAAAAGTTGTCAGAAAACCGTTGTCACAGTTAAGATTCCATTTTTAATACCAGGATTATATTAACTGGCCTACCTTAACCAGACTACTGTGTTTATTTAAATTATTTTTGTACTGCTCTACATCCAAACAGTTTCCAGAGCAGCAAAAAATATGAGGTTAAAAACAGACAAAAGAATAACAACACTACAATAAAAACATTGAGAAGCAAACTAATATTAAGATTGCAGTTGGTCAACAAGAACAGGCTTCCTGGAATAAGATTGTCCTTAGCAGGAACAAAAACAGCACAATGTTGGTGTCTCTCCGATCTCCCAAGGCAGGCAATTCCATAGAAGTGGGGCACTGAAGGGTCTTCTCCCGATGGACTCCAGTTGGGCCATGGGTCCATGCAAAACCTTCAGGAGAATGTCCTTTGATGACATCAGCAACTGGAGGAACATGCTGTTTCAGTTATTCTCACTCCAAGTTGTTCAAGTCTTTACACAGTCTGAAGTCTTGAACTTTACACAGTTCAAGTCTTAAACCTTAAACCTGGGCCAGCAAGCAGGAACGGAGTCTCTTCTTTCTGCACTAACTCTAGCTTCCAGAGCAACCTTATGGGGAGCCCCATAAAGAGTACATTTCAGTAGCCCAGTCTTGAGGTTACCAGAGCCTGTATCACTGTGGCCAAGCTATCTCTGTCCTGGAGAGGCCATAGATGTATATACTGTTGACCATATTTTTAAAAGCTTACAACCAGTTTACAGGAAAGTTAAATGCATTAAATTACATTATGATGTACATTAAAATACACTTAAATATACAGTAACTGATAAAGCATTTATATAAAACATTAATTAAAACCAATAAAACCAATACAGCACTATGATTAACAAACTGGGCAGCTCATTCACTTAGGAAAAGCCTTGGGGAACAGATGAGCCTTTAATTGGCACCTAAATCATGCTAGAGTTGGCATCCCCTGAATACAGAGGCCATTCCACAAGGAAGGAGCTACTATGGAGAATGCCGGCTTCCCTATTGCTGCAAGATGGCAGTGTACAGGTCATGGTACAACCAGTGAGATTGCTCTAATGAACTGGGAAAAAACTGTCTACCAGGTGACCAGGTCTCACAGTCTTCTGGGATTTTTTATTCCAGCAGCAAGAACTTGTACTTGACTTAGTAACTAATAGGTAGCCAGTGCAATTGCATCAACATTACTATGAGTCGTGCATCCTGGTTGCTACATGCTGCTTCAGCTGCAGCTTCCAGACTAAGTATAAGGAGACGCCCACATAAAGGTCATTCAAGTAATCCAAACATGAGACTATCGGTACATGTAGTGCAGTGGCCAGTCTATCCCTGCCCAGGAAAGAGCATAGCTGACATGCCAACCTGAGCTGTTACTAGGTAGTTCTCACTGCAGAAGCCACTTAGGCCTGTTACGACAGTGATTAACCTAGGAGCACCTCCAGGTGATGTACTGTTCTTTCTGAGGGAGAACAACCCTGTCCAAAAGAGGCAAACTTCCCAAACCTGGTATCTGGGAAGCATCCAACCATAGAATCTCCATTTTAACAGGATTTACTCTCAGTTTGCTGGACTTCATCCAACCCATCACAGAATCAAGGCACAGGTTCAGAACATGCATGGCCTTTCCCAATTCAAATGTTAAGTTGCTAAATTAATGTATTTGAAGGACTTTGAATGCTTCAATTTTTTTACTTAAACTAAAGACTCTGCTGCCTCTTTTCGTCTTGCTCGTATTGTTCATTCATTCATTCTGGACTCCTCTTTCCCTTATCAAAAATTTCAAGGCACCTCAAGCAATCCTTTAGGGTAAATAGAAGCTGGCTTATACTAAGTTGAACCATTGTTCTGTCTATTTCAATATTCATACTGGCTTTGATATTGCGTCTTTCCCATTCCTGCCTGGAGATGCTGGGAATTAAAGCGAGACCTCTGCTACTGAGTTCTGCCCTTGACGTACCTCTCTGTCACTGTGCTGTGCAAGTCCCAGACCACCTTTCCCTGGGAAGTTCAGCCCTAGCTGTGGTCTTCTGTTTCCTGGGTGAAAATGCATGGTGGTTGTTCTGGTGCACCAAAGTATTGAAAGATGGGTTCAGATGAAACTGGGCTATTTCAGCCTACCTCTATTCACAGTAGAAGAAATTCATGTAAGTAGCTGACAAACAGTTTTGTGACTCTTCCCCTACCACCCACACAAATAATCCATCCTAGCAATTTTCTTTGGTTTCAGAATATCTAAATTATTGGTGAGGAAGCCAATATTATAAATGCAAAGGTTTCTTTCTCATTCTCTGTGGTGCACAGGGACACTTAGAATGCACTTTCAGATAGCAGTGGAAAATGCAATTCCATTTGCCAAAGACCTGAGCTTTATTTTAATAATGCCACCTTTTAAAATGTTAATGGCAGCATTATTTTTTTCATGACTTTAAGTCAGTATGAACTCATGCTTCATTTCCTATCCTGACATGAGTCCTGTGATTCAGCTGAATTCCCACTGAAACTCTTTATCCCTGCCCCACCCTTCCTGCACACAGCTCCTATATACCTTTTCTGTGGTATGTCAGTGCTGCTGTTTATGGTGATTGATGCAGCGGTGCCAACTTACTCTGTTGTGGTTCCTGGCATAGGACTGACACTGCTGTCCTTAAACTCTTAATCAAATCTGAATCAAGCCTTTCTTTCTTTCTTTTTCCTGTGGCACTTACTAATTCATT